CCAGAGGAGTCGCCCCCTGGTGGTCACTAGAGAGAATGCAGCTTTAAAGGAGGTTGCTGCCTGGTTTTGAAACTAGTCTCTTAGTGGCTTCAGTTTTTATACACTCAGCAGACCTCCAGACAATTATTCCCTTTCCCCCCCCCCCCCCCCCCCCCCAGAAGAGAGATAACCCCCCATCCTCAGTTTCTGTTTCTGTCTCTGTGCCTTTCTGTTTAAACCACGTCGCTGACTGGCGAGCTTGCTCGCTCGGTGAGATTCCTTTCGGTGAAAACCTGCCTCAACACTCTGCAGCAGTGGAGGGTGGTGCCTGCATGAGCCAACAATGGGCCCAGACAGCTAACTGGTTTGGGGAGATCCAGTGACCTCACTCGCTGTGTTGAAACATTTAGAGTCATTTCAGGTGTCTCAGGTTTATCATATGGACAAGCATTCGTTTAAGTAGTAGGAAATAGATGTCGTGTTTACGCAATAGACCAACATAGTACATTTACAGTACAAAGCCTTTCTGAAAAACTCTGCCAATGTAAAAGACCGAACATCACTAAATACACTAGAATTCATACGGTAGAATTCATGCATTTCTCTACCAAATTTCAAGGCAATCCGTCCGATAGTTATCGAGATGTGTTTCATATTCGTCTCGTCACAAGTCCTGTGCATCATCCTGGGCGCCGTCACGGCCACAGACGGAGGGATATACTCCACAGAAAGCACTTCAACATTGTCCGCTACACAATGAAGCACTTTCACTCACTGCCTTTACAATACAGCGGCTTCTGTCCTCTTAGTCCTTGTTACTGAAGGCAATAATGGAGCCGTTCACTTCGACAGACTGAGATGAACAACCCCACAAAACAAGGGGGTGGGTGGGTGTGTTTACATGTCGGGATTATTATATTTAGATACTTTAGAAACCGGAAAGTCTTAAATAACATTACATTTTAAAATTTGAGTTTATTTTTTGCATCCAAATCAAATAGTTTACATGATATTCAACCTATGTTTCTTTATTATTCATAGAATACTTGACTTGTTGCATCAAAGTAGTCCATGAATATGAGTTTACAGATGATTACAATCCCTCAGCATTGTGGAGGTTGCTTTATGCGTTTTGAGTATTTACAGACGTTGTCTTTCTGCTTCTTCACGGTTCATTTTGTTTGTACGTCCTCTGGTGTTTCGGAGAATAATGCAAGGAACAGTATAAACGCTGCAGGGCCAAGCACAAGTATAAACTAAACTTCATTCTGTCTGTGGACGGATGTTGTCACTGCGATAGCATACGATGTTAGCCTGGAGATAAACATGTCAGGAACCAAAGGGTGCTTGTGTATTTAAGATGCTGTACTCACCAGAGGAGCGGGATCTGGTGGGATCCCGTTGTTAGACGGTATCTCGTCGTGAGCCAATGAGGCGTAACCACCTCGTATATATCTCGTATACAAGCCTCCCATCCTCATTATGTCACCGAGCTGCAGCAGAGAAGTGTTCCCTCCTCTGGGAAAGACGTTTCACACTGTGGGCTGTTTTTTCCAACCACAGTTGAAGGTAGATGGTTCATTTTATTATTGGCCCAGTTCATTACTGAAACATCCTAGAAAATAACCTTAAAGAAAACATCAAGAAAGCAAGAAGACTATTAACTATATGCACATTAACATGTAGTTTTCTTTATGCGTGTGACAGATCTTGGAGTGTTTATTTGCCAGTGTACTCTGTGTTTGAATCTTTGTTTTTTGAGCTTTTAACAGATTTTAAACTGTCTGGTTGTTTTGCAGGAATCCACGCGTGTCGTCCCAGCTGAGACGGTGACATCACCGGTCCTCGCCCACCCCCCCACGCAGAGAGGTGCCAACAGAAAGACAGGATGCCTGCTCCTCCCCCACCCCCTCCTCCCCCAGGACCCCCGCCTCCCCCCACCTTCAGTCAGGTCAGTGAGCGGCCTGAACTAATACCGTTATTCTGTACCTGTTTACCTGAGACCACCCAGTCTTTACACAGAGAATCATCATTGCGTTTCTGGTTATTCCAACACCATATTTGTCTCTCACGCCGGCCAGAAGGCAGACTGGTTACCGTAAAGTATCATGGGAGTTAAGTAGAAAAACAAAAATCGAATTAACGTTAACCTGCCGTAGTTTTGAAGTGTTTTCTCGCATGTTTTCGTGCCTGAAAAAGGTTTTCCACTCTACTTATTATAACAACAAGAAAACCTCGTCTGGACTGAAGATCGTGTATTTTCAGGGTCTGCAGTCCAAATCTCCAGGCTGCTGAGTCATGTGACGTTTGTTTACAAGACGATGTTTGATCCCAAACAAACCAAACGGTTCGGAGGAACCGGAGATGCGAATACTTATTTGTTAAACTTCCTTCCGCAGGCGAACACGACTCCTCCCAAACTGGGCTCATCGGAGACTAAAGACAGAGGTGCGCTGCTGTCGGACATCTGCAAAGGCACCAGGCTGAAGAAAGTGGCCGTGGTCAACGACCGGAGCACGCCGATTATAGAGAGTGAGTCGCTGCAGGTTCATTTCGTACACACACTCACAAAACTCATTACTTTTCTATCAATATCTCAGGTTGATGTTGACACGAGTCTTACTTTTTTCACCAGAAGGTGGAGGAGGTGGTGGCGGAGGTGGTGGCGGTGGTGGTGGAGGTGGTGGTTTTGGAGGCGGTGGGCCAATGGCAATGGGAGGCCTTTTCCAAGGAGGTGTGCCAAAATTACGCCCAGTTACAGGTAAAGAAACATATTCTTTGCTCTATTTTTAACAATCTGATATTTTATATTTTGTCTATGAATCCGTACCGGCTGCACAAGTGTCTTATCATATGTGTGAATAAATAAACCAGAGAGGAGACGTGAAGTCTAAGTCCAGCCCTGAAGGAAGCGAGCTAATCTATCGGTCATAATAATCATTGATCATCTGTTAATAGTTTATTCAGCAGCTCAGGAAAAACACAGTTTATCTGCTTCAGCAGTAGAGGACTTTTACAAACATAACGTAGATGAATATCATCACTGGGCTTTCTTGAAGCAAACACAAAGTTAATATTTATAAGATACGACTACGTAAGGATGTTAACAAGATGGAGGATATATTATAATAATAACAACATGTTATGAACAACAAAGAAGACAGAACATGTGATGTGCGTGTTAAACTCTTTCTACATTTCTACCGAGCTTTTGCTTTTATTCACGTCTGAATAGAAACTCACACAGAATGTTTAAACGGCCACGAGCCGGGAAAGTGGATCCGGACACGAAGGCGGTTCCTTCCAGCTGAATGGACTCTAAACAGGATTTTGAATTATGAATGAACGTTCTTATTTTTGACGGAGTGACTGTGACCTTTGACCTCTCTGCATTTGGGAGAAGCTAAATGCTGAAGATGTAAAACATGGAGAATTGATTCTGTGATTTTAAAAAAATAAAAGATTCTTAGGGGTCAATATTTGAATGATTAATCTGGGTTGATAAATAGAAATAGTATTTGTTCAAATAAGATCATCCATTATTAGTCACGCAGCGGGGAAAACTACAGCAGCATATTAGAGTGCGTGTGTGTGTGTGTGTGCATATACACACACACTGTATAGTGCAAACAAGAGACAGTAAAAACACAAGATCAAAGGATTATAAATAAGTAATAAAACAGTAAAGAATATTTAAAAAGTAGAAAATCTGGTGCGTTAGACCAGATCAATCACTTTGTCAGGCGTTTTATTTGTTGTTTTATTTTGATATTATTTTGTACTTTACTTTCTTCGGGGGTTTTTTCCCAAACAAAAATACCCCAAAATTCTCTTGTGTGAGCGTCTCAGCTGTGAAGATGTGTTGCTCTTCTTCGTCTCATGTGATTGTTAAATTAAACTCTTTTGGGTTTTTAGCTTTTGGTCGAACAAAACGAGACGCGTGAAGACGTCGTCTTTGTCTTTAGGAAACTGTGATCGCTCCATTTCACCGTTCGCTGATATTCTAAAGACCAACGATTCACTGATTTAATCATGAAAATAATCCACAGATTAATTGATGACATTAATTGTATATAATATATGTCCTGCTCCTACTGGGCGTCCTGTGATACGTTCTCTTCTCTCTGTCCTCCACCCAGATGGTTCAGCCGGCGGCTCGGTGGGCAGGTCCGCCCTGCGGCCCCCAGGGTCCCGCGCCGCCGCCCCTCGCCCCCCCACAGGCCGCTCCTCCTCGCCCTCTCCGCCCAACAAGCCCTCTCCACCGGAGCACCAGCGCCCACACCGCCCCTCGCTGCCCGACATCTCCCGCCCCTCCAACAGCAGCAGCAGCAACAGCAGCTCCTCCACAGGCGGAGGGATGAAGCACAGCACCTCCGCCCCGCCGCCTCCTCCACCCTTCAACAGAGGAGGCCGCAGCAACGCTCCGCCGACCCCCAACCAGAAAGCACACGCTCCGCCCTCCTCATCCTCCTCTCACAGCAGAGAAAAGCCCCTCCCACCGACGCCCAGCAGAGGCCACACCCCTCCCAGCTCTGCGAGGCCGCTTCCGTCTTCCAGCAGGCCGCCGACCGGTGGCTCTTCAGCTCCTCCGCCTCCTCCGCCGTACAGGCCGCACACGTCGGGCGGCGTCTCCAACGGGCCGTCCCACGTGGATGGCGGAAGGGCTCCGCAGCTGCCGCAGAGGCACAACTCTCTACACAGAAAACACATGTCGGGAGGCGGCAGCCAAGGACGCAGCCACGCTCCTCCACCTCCTCCCTCACCGTCTCCATCCTCAGCCTCCCAGCAGGCCGGCAGACCGCCGCCACCCGCCAGAGAGCCACCTGGGCGCCGAACAGGTACAAACACCCGCACAGTGATCACGTCTCTTACAGGTCAGAGGTCACCACGTCGTACTGTAGATTTGTGTCCGTCAATAAGGTTTTTTAGGGGGCTTTAAAAGGCACTCTTAAAGGGAAAGTCCCTCTAAAAACACAGTTCTAAAGCTGTACCTCATATTTCTGGGTCCCCTTTGTACTTTTGACCGGTGGCAGTATTAGATATTGATATATTTCCAGTGACCTGACCATTGTTTGCGTCAGACTTGACACTGGAAATGATGTTGATTGTGCTTCACTGCGTATCTACACATTCAGGATGTATCTGAACAGGAATGTTCGTTCAGAGGACGAAGCAAGTTTTGACTCGTTATCTCTGAGCGTCTCGATGGAGCGGAAACATTTCCTCCACGAGGATCTCACCGACTGTCGGTTGAGTTCTGAGAAGTAGAGCAGCGACGTTTGTCTCTATGTAACGTTCTTCTGAAGCCGGGTGTCTGCATAGACCTTTAATGTTCCCCGATATATCTACAGCTGCTTCTGTGGAGGAGATAATAACACATGTTAGATGCGTCCTTATTGTTTTAAGTGTTTAGCTGCTCGCGTGTGTTGATGTTGAAGGAAACACTTTGAGATATTTTAGACAAAACGTTTGAGTTTTCTGGAGTTCATCCTTTTATAACTGAGATAAACTCGATGTGATCGTGTCTCCCCGGAGCGTCTTTTTATTTATGGCTCTCTGGAAAATATATATTCATAATTTGAATTCAGAGTGAGCACAGAAAACAGGAAGGCACTTGTTAGCCGGCGCTCTGTGTTGTGACGTCGTGGTTTCTCTGCATTCCTGGAGCCCTGTGGAATATTCCAGCATTCCTCTTCACTTTCACTCGGACTTCTCTTCATCTTCTCACGTTAAGTTGCACGACGTCTTGTTCCCGTTCGGTGCTCCTCGTTGTTCTCTCTTTATGTTCTGATATTTAGAAGTTGTACGGAGGCCGCAGTGCTTCACAAGCTGCAGTTTATAACCGGTTTCCTCTCAGACGGCGCTCACTGGTTCGTAGGAAACGTCTAGAACCAACAGGTCATGTTGGTGACGTTTGTTGTGTGATGCTCTAAACAGTTCTACATTGTTAGATTTCACTATTTTGCAGCATTTAAAGCACCGTTACGTGTGGTTCTGTATATGTTTAGTGCAGTACGTTGATGTCAAAATCATCTATAATATGTGATTCATGGCAAAGAATGAAAATACACTAAACAACTAAATTAAATCTTAACGCACTCAAATTCTGCCATCGACATCCATTAAAATCACTTTGAAACAGCTGTTTTCATTGCTATAATGTAGAGTAACATTATACGTGTGTGTGTGTGTGTGTGTGTGTGTGTGTGTGTGTGTGTGTGTGTGTGTGTGTGTGTGTGTTGTCCACACAGCTCCCCAGGTGCCCCCCTCTGGATCTCGTAATAACGGCGGTCGTGACGCCCCTCCCCCTCCTCCTCCGTACCGCGTCCACAGCTCTGCGGCCTCAGAGGCACACAGCCGGGTGGGCAAACCTCCTCCACCTCCCTCCTCTTCCTCCTCCATCTCATCTTCATCCTCCTCCCGAACCCCGGCTGGACCCCCTCCACCGCCCCCGCCCATCCGGAACGGCCACTCCTCCATCTCCTCCTCCAAGTTCATCATAGGTGAGTCGGGCGTCGTCACCTTCCTCCTCCTCCATTCGTGGTTTCACCAACGTCAAGCCGGTCTTTAAGTACATTTATGAGCAACGTTTCCATCCAAAAGGAGCACAAAGTTTATCTGCATCAGAAGAACGTAGGCGGTGTCTGGTTCGTCCACTACTGTGAATATATGGAGTTGGTTGGTTGGTGCTAATTCTTCAGTCTGGTGATGTTCTACCGTTGTAGAATAAAAGATGACGACCAGATGACGTAATTAAAAGAGAGCCAGACAAAACCACAAATAATGAGAACTAAACAATTGTGTAAATATGTTGTTTATTGTCACAAGGTGTGATTATTGTCTACGTATGTTTCTTTTGCACTTTCTCACACTTTGCTTTAATTTTGCTAATTTAGCTGCTTCCTCTTCCTCTGTGGTATTAGTAGAGTTGTTTAATTGAAGAATAGCTGCTAACGAAGCTCCGCTAATTCTATGATGGACACGTTTTCCTGTTAATTCTTTCACAATAAAAGTCCTTTTGTTCTTTAAAAAGCATTTTAGCAGCAAAATTAGGAAACTAAATTTCTAGGAAATGTACAGACGTGACAAAAACTAATGTAACCACGGCCTTAGTCTTTTAAAACCAATATTATATTAATATCCACATTTAAATACTTAACAGTGTTAAATTAAATGAGCTAAAGAGGAAACTATATGCCCACATTCATGGTGGTAGAGTGTGGCACTTCTTCTTAAATTGGGAAGTTTTAGTGCTTTGCTTTGCACCTCTATCAAGTTAAAAATCAAAGCAGCCGAGAGCTGATTTCTAGTCTCTAGTATGAGTCAAGCTTAAAAAACACAGGATCCTACATCTCCCATAATGCAACGCGGCATCTTGAGTTGCATTATGGGCTGTGGCTCCAACAAACCGCTGTGTTTT